TGATTGCCCACTAAAAAATGCTAAGATTTTTATAAAAGAGAAATTTCGAAGAGTCCCGGATAGAGATGGGCCCGGGAATAAATACTTAATCTAGATCGCGCCCACCCCGACGTTATTCAGAAGTAGATCGCGGGTGCCGTGGGTCCCGACATCTATCACTAAGAAAAATGCACATGTATTTTAAATTAATTTTAAATAATTATATTCAACAATTTTTATTGAGCTCGAGGCCGTTTTTAAATGAAATACTATTGTGGACAAGCAGCAATAATTTTTATTTTTTGTTCGTTTTCGTGTCAATAAAACATTAAAAATTGCATATTTCACACATCGATTAAAAGGAAGATTTTCTGAATTTGCGGAGGTTGCGGTTTTATCGGGAGTGTAGGGAAAGGATTTTGGTTCCGTCCCGTTCGCAAAATATGTACAGACCTTTCCGATACCGCCCATCCCGGCCAATTTCTAGTCCCTGGATAACAATTTTTCGCAACCCGAAATCCCAAGATTCATAAAATGCTTCGGGATTGAATGACTCAGTATGTTTTTCCCTAATATTAACAAAAAACGTTTTACTTAAAAAACAACTTATTGGACTTTGGCTTTTTGTTTTTGAGCATTTAAACATTTAGATATTTTTCCATAATTATGAGTTTAAATAAATAGGACTTAGGTTGAAAATACCACATTAAAAGAGCTGAATATTGCTTGTATTTTCAGATTAAAAACAGAAATACCAAAGTCCAATAAGTTTGTTTAACCGACTTGTTTATTTCCCGCAAAAACCCAGGTGCAGCGATCACACACACGCACCTGTGCTTAAAAGCGATTCGTTTGGGCTTAAGGGGATATGCATTTTATCCACTCACTGAACTTCTTCAACTAATAAGTCGCTGGCATTCCCAACTGTGGTCAACTGTGGGTGAGTGGCTAACCCAGCTTGACGCATCGTCACACTCCACTCCAGGAGTGGACGGTAGCCATTGGCTGAGCACGCCTACGCTAAGCAAAGGAGCTCCCCCCAATAAGTAAATGGTAAAAGCGTCACATGTTGTATTACCGCTTCATCTGCCTGTTCGAATATCTCTCTCCCCCTCACTCATATTAGGCTTATGAAGTACGTACTTGGCTTAATGTGCTTCTTTAAATCATGTGACCTCATTGAGTTCGAAAAATATCTCGCAAAAAAGTAAAACCTACCTCGTATTTCTCTATCCCAACTCGAAGCCCGTTCTTCCTCGGCTAAACAAATTGGTTTTATTAAAAGGTAATATGTACTCGTATAATATATAGGGGCCCAAAAAGTACCACGACAAACTTGAGGAGAAGGTAGTTGGGGGGTGAGCTCCTTGTTTTTGATATATTGATATTTTTTAATAAAAAAAAATCGGGCCTTATCAAGTATTTTCTTTATCTGTATATGGGGCGTTCCATACCAAAATGGGCGGGGTTCACACCTCAAGCGTTTGATTTGTTTCTAATTTTTACGGTTGATGGATAAACATAAATAGTAAATTTATATGAAATTTGAGCTTGATTAATACATTTTTAAAAACTTTACAGCACAAAAACCAAATCAAATCGATTTAATAGTTTTCCAAATATTTCGACAACGGGGCGGCGAAAAAATTTAAAAAAATCACACATACACACATAAAACTTCTATGAAAAGAAATATTTTTTAAATTTTTTTTCTTGCGTTGATTTTTAATATTTTTTATGCTGACGGCTTTTTGCACTTTTTTCTTATGGACGAAAATGCGTAAAACCGTTTTCAAAGATAATTAAATAAAACTAACGGCAGTTTTGCAATCACTATAACTTTCACTTTGTTATACTAGAATTTAATGGGCTACAAAACTAAAAAAACATACTCAAAAAAAAATCTAAAAAAAAATTAGAAAATTTGTAAATTTGTAATGTACTCATTTTACTCAACTTTAGTGTAAAAAAAAAATCATAACTCAAATTATTGTAGAGTGCACCCGGTAATACTATACTTAAATATTGCGTAATACTCAGAGCTACCATTGTGATTTTTTTTTTTAATTTTTTTGAAATGGCAAATTTTCAAAAACTAATTTTTTTTTAACAAAAAATTTGTATATGAAAAATTTAAAAAAAAAAAAAAATATTAAAAAACTATTTCTTGTCATAGAGAATTTTGATGTGTGTAGGCGGAAGATATGCCCTGCTTATTATGGGCGTGAAGTAAGAGCTTATTTAGACGAAACTTATCGCCAGATTTGGGTCCGTTGGATATTTTATACTGAGGTTGTCTTAAGGACAAAATTTATTTAAATAAAGTTCAAAATCCCTAATCGCGACCGAAAATCGCCTACGTAGAAAGAAGTTCATTTTGTTATTTCGCTTTAGACCATTTATAAATGGAACATATATTTATGTACATAATTTGGTTCTTTTAATATGTGTAAGTTCGAGTTGCAATCGAAACTGTGCATGTATGCACTATTTCGGCTTTTGTGATATATTGCGGCTTTGTTTCATTGTACATATGTGTATATGATTTATATTTGTAATAAGTATATACATACATATATTACCCAAATACCTCGAATAATTACTCATTTTCATTGTTTTTTGTTTATATAAATCTCGTTAAACTAGTAACATATTTCTTGCCAAATACCAACAGGATTGCTCAAGTAGCTAAACGGAAATTTAAACCGAGTTCAGCGTTCTTTTGTCTCTCGTCTACAAAAAAATGCACCGATTAGATATTATTATTCGAATATCCGGCTTATCATATTTTTGGAAATATCAGTGAAATTACTACATTTTTGCAGGGAAAATTAACAACCGTAGTTTTGGCGAGAGACAAATTATCATCTTTTTAAGGAAAATTTAATTTCTGGATTATGTGTGTAAAAATAAAAGCATTGAATGTTGCCCACTTTTATACATACAACTTTCTACAAGAAACGCCATGAATTGCCAAATGAAATGTGAATGTCATAACTGGCCTCTTGGTAAATTTTCTGAAATCTTTGTCAGATTATTTTTCGGATGGTAGTAGTGATACCGGTGGGTTCAAAATTCATTTACTAAGAATTCATAGTAGATCTTCAGATTTCTTCGACATTTAAACACACATTTTAGTATATGTATGCCACTGAACGAGTTTTGGGTTAGTGTTAGGAGTGAATACCATGAAGTAGCTAAAAAGGTTATCTCAACTTTGCTTGCTTCTGTCACAACGTATCGTTGTGAAACAGGGTTTTCAGCGTGCACTTATACAACAAGTTCAGGTTGAAATTGGATGCTACCCCAGAAATGCGCATACAGCTTTTAGACATAATACCGATATATAAAGCAAAAATAAAACAGTGAAAACATTTCATTTTTATACCCGAACGCATTTTTGCACAAGGGTATTATAACTTTGTTCACATAACGGTTGTTGGTAAACGCTGCACCAATATCTTCCAAACTTGGCACAGTTGTTGGCCTTGGTACAGCATTCTAAATGGCCAAACATTTTTGAAATCGCACAATAACTACGCCCACATCCCATATAACGGTAGTTTAGAGAAATACGTAATCTTCGATAAATCAGTAAATATTAAATTTATTCGAAATTGATGCTTGCAAAAATTCTTCACCAAGAAATACGCTTATGACAAAATTTTGGAAAATGGGCGTGGCACCGCCTTTTTTATGATCACATATATGTATCTCGGTAACCGTTCTACCAATTTGTACCAAACGTTACGGTTATTGTGCTTGCCACATAAAAGCAAAACGTTAAAAATTATTGAAATCGGATTAAAATTACGGCCGCTTTTCGTATAATGGTAAATTTCAGAAATGCTTGAAACTTCAATATTTCGGAATATAAGGACGCTAATTTAGTAAAATTGATACCCCAGGGGTGTACCATGTAGCGGTAGCTTTCAGAGAGGTGAGAAACATATATTTAATACTTGCGCCGGGTATTTAATGTTCGGCTCCGCCCGAGCTTAGGCTTTCTTACTTGTTCACATTAAAGTTAAAGTGTGCATACTATTTCTAGTAAAAGTTAAATTGCTGTGCCTTTGGTTTTTAGTAATTTGATGTGGGGTTCCATAATCTTACAAGTTTGAGAACCCCAAGGTTATGGTTCTCTGCAGGTCTCTGACGCCTCTGGTAAATTCTGACTATCTTTCAGTTTACATTAAACACACCCTCCTGTATAAACTCGTTTATATGCTTACCATAGATCTTCTCACCAAAGTCAAAGTCAAAGTCATGTGAGATATAGCCAATGTAAAATTTCACGGATATGGAATGTGCCGCGCTCCCTTGAACAAACCCATTTATATTTACTTTACTATAAGCGCCTACTTTTGTTATGTATTCACACCTGTGGAATTTTCCACGCCTCCTTTTACAATCTTATTTATATATATGGATAGTTTACTTCCAGCGTCTATCATAGATCTGTCTTCATTCCAAATTTCAAAGTCAAGTGACTTACGGTTCCAAAGTTATTCCTAATTAAACACCTGCATGCCTAACATACATATAAGATATGCCACGCCCCCTTTACAAAAGTATACCAACCACCAAATTTCAAAGTCATGTGACTTACTCTTTCGATGTTTTACCCTATATTATATCTGGGACCCCGGTAACTGCTCAGATACCAGTTAAAGCCCCATGATCCATCCAGTATTTAGTTCCGGAGTTTAGTGAGACAAACAAACATACAGACAAAAATTCTAAAAATGGTTCAAATGTATTCTATTATATTACCTGCATAATTCTTTTAAAGAAATTTACGAAGTATAGACAACTTTTATTATAGTATAGATTATCAAGGAGCAATTGGAGACTTCCTCTGGACATTCTCACTGGTCACAATTTGTTAGCTAACAACGCCCTCCAAATGGGATTTGGAAGAAAATCGAGTTGTTGACCCTTTTTCAGATATATACATACATTCATATATGCTAACTAAAACTAGGTAGAGCCCTTTATTGTAAAAGAGAAACACTGATAAATTTCCACAACCATTGGTTCACTTGCACACGCACGTGCTGTTTACTTAACGGTACACAATCATTTATTATTTAAATTTGGTTTCAATAAAATTATTTTTATACACTGATAATTGCATACGCATATGTAATATTTATTTGCATTACGTGCACTGCACTGCAGTTTGTTCAACTGTAATTATATTTTTAATTTTATCTCAAATATTCGGGGAAAAATACTTTGCTGCTTGCGTATTGCGCGCATAAGGAAACTACCAAATAATTATGATGCAATTTTGATACTGCGCTTGCTAAATTTTACATCAGAAGCAGATGAGAACTGGAAGAAATAGTTTGAATAATTGAGATGAAATTTCTATGTAGATAGAAAATAGACCGACATTTGTCTGCGATGTTAAGAGAGTTGTGTCAGCGGAACCCAGATTTTTACCAACAATCAAAAGAAATGCGAAGAGCGAGGAATTTGGGCTGAACACACAGCGTCAGCCGATTGCATCATGCAATGCATAAACAACTCTCAATTCAAGCGAGTTATGCAGCATATGTAAATAATTTAATACTTATGTTATTTTTAATTATCTTTTATTTTTATTTTAATGAAATTGCTGATAAATAATAAACATACCTTATTTGTTAACTTTCAATTTTCACTTTTACTTGATCATTTTGCCTTCAGTTGCATGATATTTTGCTGTTATGTGCATACAGAGTACATCCTATGTACCTATTCACAGTTTTGTTTTTAATATTTACTCCGAGATACTAAGCTGAAATGTGTATTATCTTCAAATCACAGGTTTCGCTTTTGTACAGTATTTTTAGTGAAAACTTTTCCATTACAGAAATCAGTAGCGCCAATAATATCGCACAGGCAATTAGTTACGAAGTCAAAACAAATAAATAGATGTTGTTGCTTGAGCCCAGTGAGAAAAAATCGTTGGACCATGTAATCCATTTGTGGTATATTGGATTACTTACAAAAGTGATCCTCTGTCATGCTGTAGCGGACCAACTCGTGTCTCTGCACCAGTTTATTGTTACCCGACCGCTGCTCGTGTTTTAACGAAATGTGATTGAAGTTGAGCATTTGTGTTTGGCTGTAGCTGAACGTGCAGAGATGCTCGCTGTTAGTTGTTAGCTCCCAGCATGTTCAGGTTCGAATGCCATCAGAGGCATTTTTAATGTCATTTTTAATTTTTGTTTTTGGTTTTTTATTAATTTCGAAAAAGCATCTGCGAAGTGAAGAATAAAAGCGTGTACAAACGAAAAAATATAACAACAATGCCATTGTTAATATGTTGGAGTAGTTTTCCGCTACTCTGATGAAATGCAGAAATGGAGTACATGGTACTGCCCTAGGACATCGCAATTTTAATTTGACCACATTTTTTTATATGAATTTTGGTTAATTTTGGAGTACTCCTTGGTCCTTAGGGAGTACTCTTTAAATGCATGCATGGAGTAGTCGCGATTTTTGCAGGGTGTTAGCATTACATATGTAGTATGTAGTCTTATTTGATGTTATTGATGTTCTATTCGTTGATAATTTGCTGGTGAGAAGAAATTGTTTTGTAACTACTATTTGTTTATGCTATTAAATCACGATTATTACGTGTTGGCAAAAAAAATCCTGCACATTGACATAATAACTTATTTGAAATCAGCACTCTATTCGAAATTTAATTCTACTTTCAAAATAAAAATATTTCACAATGGTTACACTATGCAGCAGAGACTCAAATTTTGTTTCATTTATTTTATTATTTATAAGCTTTAAGAATTCTAACCGCTTTTTATACCCGAGCGCACTTGAGCACAAGGGTATATTAATTTTGTTCACATAACGGTTGTTTGTAACAGCCAAAGCGAATCGAGATAGATATATACAAATGTATACATAAATGATCAGGAGGAAAAAAGAAATCGATTAAGCCATGTCTGTCNTAGAGTTGTTACCCTCAGCTCCCCCGCAGTTATCGTCACCATGGGTAATTATTATCCATTACATCTAAAAATTTTGATAAACATTATTAACCCTTCCTTAATGAAAAAAGTGATATCTAGTATTTTTTTATATTCCTACTTAAAAACTTCAAACATTATTAATTTTTATTAAAAAAAAACATACTTGGCTATGCATAAAGCGAAACAAAAGCGCAGAATAAAATTTACATACATTCATTCGGTATCTATTCAATTAATTTTAACCGATTCCGAAAAATGAAACCAAAGTAAACCAATTTTTTTTTACATCTTAAAAAACAGTTTTATTTAAAGCAAACCTGAAAAAACCTGAAAAATGATCAGAAAAATGTATACACGCATACCCTTTAGCAAGTTCGGGCTACTTAGCTTAGTTTAAAAATGTTTATTATTTTTTATTACTTATTTAACTTGTCTAAAAAATTAGCATTGTAGAACATTAAAAAAAAATTCGACGAATTCCAACAAATGATGACCATTAAATCTTAATATAATAAAGTACACGTTTGAAGTAGCTTGGACATACCGTTGATTTTTGGCGATTTTTTGTTCGCGCATTTTCTTCCATACAAAGTTCCAAAAATTATTTTGTATGGAGAAAATGCGCAACACCTTCCACAAATTTTTTTTTACAAAAATCAATGGTAAGTCACTTAAAATTGGCACTTTGAATCGAATGGGCTACAAAACTACACACTCAGAATGCTTCGTAGATATCTAATTAAAAAGCTCGAAATTTTTATGAAACTTTGTCTAATTTTGCTAATTTTTGTACAAAATTGATAATTTTGACTTACATAGTCTTTCACTTTCATAAAAAGATAATAAACATTAAATAATCGAAAGGGGAATAGTCAAAGAATGCTAAAACGTCTCTTCCTTTTTATATTTTCGCCAGTGTATCTACAGCGCATATTTTTCATATCCATGATTTTTCAAGGGAATTAGTATTATTTTTTATAATTTCACTAAAATTGTTAGAATTGTTTCATTAAAAGAGCTTGACAAATCATTGCAAAAACCTTAAAAAAGGAACCGTCAAGCGCCCTCGTCTTGGTCTGCAGGCTGTATCGGAGAACAGCCGCTAAATTTAAACTCAGAATACGTGATATGGTTAAGAGCATATCCAAGTCAAAAACGAAAGCACACACTAAGAAAAAAATATCAAAAGCGATAATAATATCGATAGCAAAATCGATAAAAACATCGATAAAAAAACCATGATAGCAAAATCGATACAAATATCGATAATAAAACCGATACAAATATCCGTAACAAAAGCGATAACAATATCGATAGCAAAGTCGATCAAAATATCGGTAACAAAACCGATAAAAATATTTATCATAAAATCGATGAAAATATCGACAACAAAATCGATAAACATATCGATAACAAAATCGTTAGCAAAATGGATAATAAAAGATAGCAAAATCACAAAGTCGATAAAACAACCGATAACCTAATCGATAAAAAATATCGATTTCAAAATCGATAAGCATATCGATCATTATATCGATAAGTTCGGCAAATATCGATAGCAAAATCAGTAATAATATGGATAACATCATCGATAAAAATATCGATGACAAAAGCGAAAATAATATCGATAGTGAAATCGTTAACACAATCGCTAAAAATATCGATAACAAAACCGATAAAATATCGATGACAAAATCGATTAAAATATCGAGAACAAAATCTATAAAAATATCGACAACAAAATCTATAAAAATATCGACAACAAAATCTATAAAAATATAGATAACAAAACCCATAAAAATATCGATAATAAAATGGATAAAAGTATCGATAACAAAATCGATAAATAATCGTTAGTAAAATTGATAACAAAGTCGATAACAAAATCGATAACAAAATCGCTGAAAATATCGATAAAAGATATCGCCAAAAGTATTGATCATTATATCGATGAGTTCCGAAAATATCGATAGAAAAATCAATAAAAATGTCGATAAAAATTTCTATAACAAAATCGATAAAAATATCGATAACAAAACCGACAAAATATCGATTATTATATCTATAAGCCCCGGGAATCTCTAAAATCCCGAAATAGTTCCCAGATTGAGTCTCTGTGCATCTATCTATATCCTTTTCTCTACAACTGCCTTTGTTTTAATCTTTCTTCCTCTATCTTCATCTATACCTTATCGGTATCCTCATCCTCTTTTTCTTTATATTTATCTTTGTTTTTATTTTTATGTTTATCATATTTTTCATATACATATTCCCTTTCACCTTTGCTCTTATATAAGTAAAGTGTTTAAATTTACCTTGGTCTTCATTTCCGCCTATATCTTTACGTAACTTTGTGTTTGTTTTTATTTTTAGCTTTACCTTTATCATTTTCTTTATCTATATACGTACTCACCTTTACTTACTTACTTTTATTCTTGGTTTGGTCTTTTTCTAAGTGTTGTTTTACTTCAAAAAGTTTTCGCGTGTTATGCATACATGTGTTCATACATACATATATATATGTCGTCAATGTTCCTTAGGATTTTGAACTCTCAATATGAGAGTACAGTACAATCCGGGTGAAGTGAACTAATAAGAGACCATACCGATTATAAAAAATATAGTTAAATATTCCTTTGTAATTATTATTGAACAATGGAAAAGTAGTTTTCGTCTCCTCAGACGTTAGACTAAAAACTTTGTCATCTTCGCGTAGTAAGGTTACTTATTTTAAGACGGACAAAATTAACTTTTTTTGTGATATGGTCTAATAAATACACAATATGCACATATCCACCTTATTTTCATATATAGCTTTATTTGTTTTGATGATTTGACTGTCAACGAATCTTATCAAAGCGAACAGCAACAAGCGACGTTATAGGCAATCCCCAATCTACTGATAAGCAATTTAATACAAATTGCAATTTAATCGGACTTACAGCTCATCAAAACAAATTTAGTTGTAACATTTTAAGACAGACCATCGCTGCCAGCTACATTTATTCCGTGTTTTGAGTGCATTATGAGCGGTCGCTAGAAATTCCGTGCTCATAATTAAGAATTTTCGGAAATTTTACTAGCTTTGCGTGATACTTGCTATTGTTTTTTTACGAAGTATTAAATAATAACATAGAAACTATTAAATTTTAAACGTAATCACAAATTTCTTCCAAAATAATATTTTTACTAAGCATTTCGGTCTGTCACTTTGAATCAAAAATCATGTCTTGTAAAGAAACTACAAAATCCTGTGGAGAAGGTCCAAATGTAATTGGTACGTATTTCATCTTCCAGCTGTAAGCTAAGAAAAGTGCTTATAATTAAGATTTTTGATTAAATAATTAGTCGTAAAAGGCAGCACAGCCTGATATCCATATACATCAATGTGTTTGAAATCGAAGGAATGGCAGAATTTTTTTTTATTTCCCGCTTGAAGGGTGTTTTTTTCTATAAGTAAGGATATGGACTTCTGAGTTCACTGTGATTTCTACAAATGTATAAGAACAAAATCAATAAAAATGTTTTTAAGTGCACGTTTAAGCTATTTTTTGGAAAAACTTTTGGGCTTTAAGAACAATGGGCCATATTCATAGTCAATTCTAAAGTTAGTTGCAGTTCTTTTGATAGATATTCCATTGTAAATTATGTAACTTTCTAAATTTTCAGATGTATGCGACTCTGTTGTTAAGAGTGCTAGAAAAATATTTCCCGAGAAAAAATACAAGCAAGTGCAGCCGACGGGTAAAGAAGTCTCAGGACTGACACATGAATGTGGAGTATTTGGAGCGGTCGCTTGCGGTGAATGGCCAACACAGGTGAGTAAGCGAAATACTTGTATATTCGATTGCTGGTGGGTTCATCACATGTATCATTTTGAAGCAATATATCTAGCTCTGAAGATTGCTCCAGTTGAAGTGATAACACGCAGCACAATTACAAGTAGTATGTAACAGCATTTGCTCGACTTCATGAGTGTAAAAAATGCATCCGTATATAGCTTTAGATAAGTGATTCCCAAAGTGGTCCAGGTGGACCCCCAGGGGTCCACGGGAAACTCGACGGGGTCTACGTTGCCGTGAAAAAATATGGGGGTCCACGAGTTATAAATGGGGGTCAACGAAAATGTATCTGGTTTCGATAGTAGAGAACCTTGCTTGATAGCCACTTAACTTTAATTTTTGTGAGTGTCATATAGTGCTCTTGACGCACTGAGGCACTTAACGTCACTCTACGGTTTAATACCAGACCTGAGCCCGGACTCACACATTGTCGAATCTTGACTGATGGCTCTGGGTAAGGGTCTGGGGACTTTATCGATGTTAATAGGGATAAGCTTCACTTTTTTCTTGTGGAGTATGATTCTGTCTTCCACGCTGAGGTATTTTAAATCCTCACGGCCATAGACTACGTGGTGGAAAATAGGTGGAGGGGAAGGATTTTTCGTGTCTGGAGTGACAGCCAAGCTGCACTTAAGGTATTGGCCAGCCCTCTAACTACTTCCAAACTATTTCAGGGCAATGCAAATTTCGACTTAGTTATGTTGGTAAACTTAGCGAGCTTGCTTTACTCGGTGCCAGGTCACTGAGATGACAGGACAGGCGACACAAACACCTGACTGTGATTGGCATAAATGACTACTCCATTTGCCCATCCTACCTTGGAGAGGATGAGAGGGTGGAGCACTTTTTATGCCTTTTGCTTGCTTGGCTGTTTGTCATCGACTTTTCTAGATTTGGCCTTTTTTTCTATTATCAGGTTCTTAATCTAAAGTTTGGCGTAAAAAGCATTGCGGTTTTGTTATTTCAAGTTTTGTGTTCTAAAAATGTGAGTGCTAAATATCGCATCACTTTAAAACCCGGAGCGATAAAAATAAAAATTATGCCATCAGCAAAAAAAAACCATTTTAAAAATACGCCACATGCAAATTCATGAGTGAGCCGAACATGCGAGGAGTTTCTGGTGAATAGAATTTAAATAACGCTAGCGCCGGATTGCTCTTAAAAAATGTAACTCCTCTAAGCGAGAGAGTACTTTAATGGCTTTACGAGCTCTGTTTTTTAAACTTTGCAAGTGGTGGAATCAGTTTGCTTTAAATAATAGAACACGTTTGTCACTCTGAATTCAGTTTTGGAACTCACCCGCGATGCAAATTTACATCGTTAGATTTAATCTTCACATTTTTTGGGATTATATTAGAAATGTAGCAGAAGAGAGTCCACCGAAACCAGCAAAGTTAGTAAAGTGTTGAAAGGAGTCTACGATAAAACGTAATTTACAAATATTCAAAAAATGCTTATGTCAAAGAACATGTCAGAAGGGCCCACCTGAAACTGGGATGAACAATTGGCACAAATTCGTAAAAGAGAGAGGTAGTCGACAAGAATTTTTCGTCGCAGCCCAAACCGACAAACGGTTGTAGAGCTAAATAAGAAGATTAGTAAAACTACAGCCAAATCAACGGTTCTGATTCTGGGTAAAAACAAAGTGTAGCATAAATAAAATATTAGATTATTTACATAACATATTTATATCGCTAGCTTAAAGTTCAAAATTGCTAAGTCCATTTTTTTCTTAATTTAAGAGGAGAGGAAAAACTTCTTATAGCCATTTCCTTCAAGTATTTAGCAAATACAAAAGTTGTTAAGCAAAGCAAAATTCCATACGAATAAGAATTGTTCGATCTTTATTAAAAGATTTTGTATTATTTTGGTTTTGCCGGATTTGCGGGGAACTCTTTCGGACTAAGCAAATTTTTGTTTGACTGAAAACAAACGAGAAAAAATAAGACAACTACCTTAATCCCTTTCGAAACGATGCATTGTTAACATCACTTGCTTCCTATATCAAAATATGAGTTTTCATAAAACGTGGACTTACAAACTTTTCACTCTAAGCTGGCGATATGCATTAGTAAAGCAGCAATTTTTCCATTTCACTTTATCAAAAATTATTACAATTGCTTACTTAGCGTGAACATGTTTTGACAAATATTTTGAATCTCGACTATCTCGACGAAACAAGGTACTTAATTGACCTAACATATAAAAACAGCTACATATATTGTATACAGTCTTATACTGTAAACATCAAATTAAATGGCATAGAAACCGCTACTGATTGTAATCTCTTTGGAGAGAATTTTGTTTACGCCACCCTGGGCTTAATCTCAATAGGGTGAGTTTAAGGTTAATTCAATTAGCAACCAATAGCTTAAAAAACAGGGGAAAGCTTCTATCTACAAAAATGTACTTAGTCATATGGAATGTAGTGAAATTATTTAACGCTGTGCACGGGAAACTAAGATCATGTGTATGCCTTGAAATACTCAGATTTTATTCTTAGATGCTATTTTCAACAAATACATACATGTACATATGTACCTTGAAACTCATATTTCGAACGTTATCGAAATTAACTTAAAATCGCACACACGGAAGAACCAAAAACATTGAAAAATCATGATACTTTTTGCTTTCGTCTGTCGATTTTAGAACTAGTTCGGAACTATCGAAAAAGGGATGGAGCGGGGGGCAATTGACACATCCTAGGACATCGCCATGTTGAATTCTCCACTTGCTTGCATGCAAATGAGATTTATCGCGAGCCAGTACTGGGTCTAAATGTACTGGAAGCGCACCAGTTCAGAACTAGAGATTTTCCCCACAGGGACGAATTATGCCACTGAACTACTTTACACGAGAATAGAATATGTACGTATTCGAAAACGCGCACAAATACGCACAGAGAACAAAATCAGTGAGGCCCGGCCCGACACGACCGAGCCCTATTAGGCATGGATTATGTGCAACTCCGACAAAAATATTTACTTTAACGAAAAAATAAGCGTAGCTATATTTTACACAAAACAAGTTTCATGATAAATTTCTTACTTAGCATATATTTTAATTTTCAAACGTTTTCCTTTCTTACACTTTACAGTTTCAAATTTTTATAAAAATAAACGATCTTCTGAATTTAAGTATATGGGCAAATCTCCGGCACCGTTTGCTTTTGTGTCACTCACCTTTATAATAATTTTATTAATGTAATTTTATTTTTTATAAAAAATTTGGACCATTTTGATAACAAATGTGAGGAGTTCTTTTAACTTGTTTATTTTATTTTTTTATTTTAATAATGTCGTTTTAATTTTTATAAACAATCAAAGTAATTAAAATAACAGTTTTGACGTGTTACTTTGGGTACCTTTTGTATGTTTTTTGAGTATATATAACTTTTTCAGCGCAAAACGGGGACATTAAAAAAATCATGGCAAATAGTGAATGTAATATTGGAAAATGCATAAGGCGTCGAGAAAAATATGTGCTCCTGACTGGAAATAAACTGAAACAATTTGAAATCTGTCACTCGTAATTATCAAAAACGTAATATCTTAAGTTCTTTTCCATTTTAAACGATCACTAAATTGTTCTAATTTATTTATCTACATATTAATTACACATTAAAGAACACAATTAGACGTAATATGGAACGCTTTTCCGTCATCCTTTTTCAAATTTGGTTTGGAGACAAACCGGTTTCGGCGTTGTGCCATCTTCAGTGAAGAACCAAATTTGACAAGGTATGACGGAAAATCGTTCCACATTACATCACACTCCTACCCTGTCATTCTTCGTAAAGTTCGTTGAAAATGCTAAATACATTAAATAATTTTTGTCTAAAATACAGCGATATATATGTGTGTATGTAACGGATTTTCAGACCTTTGGGCAGGGCGGTTAACGAGTTTTTAAATATATACTCAAAAATGATGTTTCCAATGGATCTTAAGCGAAAATTAGTTTTTCGTAAATTTTTTTTTTGTCCCGCCCACTTATGTCAAATATTTGTGTCTCGAAACCACTTCACCAATCTGTAGCAAATCGGACGAAAACCGCGCCCTTAGATATATCGCTAACATAAAGTTTTCAAAAATTATCGCTTCTTACTTATACCTAACTCTTTAAGCATTTGAGAAAAATTAACCACAGAATAATTTAATTATTTGTTTTTGTTATTTATGACCTTATAACAATTATATTCAACAATTTTTATTGAGCTTGAGGCCGTTTTTAATGATTAACTAAAAATAGAATTATTAACAAAAACCAACAACCAAATGATCAAGTTTCAACAGCTGTAATAGCTGCGCTTGATTGTATTTGGCTCACATGAAAAAGTGGAAAAAGCAACAACAGTTTATAAGGCGAACTTCGCACAGTACGTAGGCAACTGGATGAGTCATATGGGGTCGTCGGTTCGAGTCCCGCTGAAGAATTCTGATGAGAAAATGTGGTGATTTCCGAAATAGCTATCGCTTCGACCAATTTTCCAAATTGTTGTTGCTTTTCCTTAATAGTTTTTCATTAAAAACGGTCTCAAGCTCAATAAAAATTGTTGAATACAATAATTGAATGTTTTCATGGATTTCAAACAATTTGATGTATTATTTATTTTTGTGCGTTAAATTTAAAAATTTACATTAAATTATGCTACCGCATAACTTTGGACCACGTGAACTAATTTCAATAATTCTTTTTTTATCGGAAAGATGGCACCTCAAGGATCGTCCCGTAATTTGTTTTAGATCTGATCATTGGATCATGGAAAATTAACAGTACTCCTAAATTTGTATATGAGAATTGAAGTCGGTTGTGTTTTTTACTTAAAAATTACTTGTTTAATAAAAAGTTCTATAAACATAAGATGCGCTCAACTATCAAAAGTAATAAAAAATGTTAACAAAGTGTTTTAGTGTTAATTTTCCTCGATTTCTTGTTTCTGGTTTTGGTGGTGATTTTTCGTGATTGCCAATTTTTTTTTTATATTGCGAATAACGAAAAAGTTAACCGAACTTGTATTTTTATTATGTAGCTCACTTTGGTGGAACGAATTCGAAGGTGGCAAATTAGATCTTCGAATCCTTGTTAAGTTCAAATCAGTGGTAAACTCTTTTAGGCTGTAAAGTGTTAAATACAACAGTAAGTGAGTATGCATTGCATATTTTTAGGACAATGTTTTCATTCGCAGTTAAACTTTTAAGAGCTCTCACGAAAAACGAAAAATTCATATAAAATGACCCACAAGAAATGGAAAAGTCAGCAGCTCTCAAGATAAAAATGCTCGTATATTTACTTTTTCAAGAAAATTTACAGCAAAAACAAAGTGCCTTTTCAAGTTCAACAGTAATATTAAAAAAATATTTCTTGTGATTTTTCTTGAGAGCTGTATTCTAAGCTTTAAGATACAGTTTGTATTTGAAGTTATTAGCATTAAGAGGGATTTGAACCGCAAAACCCTCCCCCGTGAGCTTATTGATTTTTTCGTACCTATATTTTGTATTTTTTTTTTTGTTAAGTTTTCATACAGAAGTCTTAAAAAATTTTTAAATAGGTAACCTAATCATGGAATAAATCTGTGTTCGTATGGAAAGGTAGCTTATGTCGAAAGGCGGGCTTTAGTATAATGCGGCAATCACTTTATTTTTTAAACGGCAAGGAATTTTTTGATGAGACCTAATAAGAATATTGACTTGCTAGTATCGGAACTATTTCTACCACGTTTAGTTGCCAAAAGTTGTTCAACGGCTTAGCGCCAGTGAGTCATTCGCAATCGTCTGCTGCGAATGCCGATTTATACTAAAGCCAGCCTTTCGACATAAGCTACTTTTCCATATGAACACAGAAATAATAAAAAAATCTGTGTATGAATGAAGTGTGTTTTGAAATCGAACAAACCTTATCTGAAAAGGTTGTGTTTGGCCCTGCCTCATGTATAGGCTGCTGGAAATATAAATAACAGAAAGTAGTGATATATTAGTTTTGAAATGACTTACAATTTTGCGTACAGAAGCACTGATGCATATTATCAATGTATGCCAATTTAGTTATTATTGACAGACCATTAGTCTGAGATTAATTACAATGGGCGCCGACAGCTACGCATAAAAGAGACAGGCCCCTCGCCTATCTACTGAAAACAGCACACTCTGTTCAGTGGACGTCATATACGTATGTTTGTACGCACATCCCTGCAGGGAAAATCCGAATTAATAAATAAAATTTTTAGTTCAGTACTAGTTCTTTATCGCAAAAAAGGAACCAATCTGATAGTAACGGGTGATTTTTTTGAGGTTAGGATTTTCATGCATTAGTATTTGACAGATCACGTGGGATTTCAGACATGGTGTCAAAGAGAAAGATGCTCAGTATGCTTTGACATTTCATCATGAATAGACTTACTAACGAGCAACGCTTGCAAATCATTGAATTTTATTACCAAAATCAGTGTTCGGTTCGNAAGCTCTTAAAAAATCACCCGTTACATAACTACATAGATACTCACCAGTCCAATAGTGAAATGTGGCACTTTTACAAGACAATTTTATTTTACTTTTTAAAACTACATGTTCCTGTTAAAATTACAATTCACAAAAAACTCATTACTTCACTCGAAAAACTACTTTTGTTTTTTTATCAAAAAATTTAACTCCATATATCGCATGTTTAATAATATTGAGATGTAACTCAAAATTTACGTTTTTGGGGATTTCCTCATAAAATTGATAAGGAGAAGATGTTCAGTCTAACGGGTGGCTAAACTTACCAAAAATGGCGATGACATATGTTTTTCCAGCTGACTTAAATCGAACAGAACAGAATCGAAATTTTGAAATAATCTTGTAGGCATATTATTAAGCGTGCGATATGTATATATATGCATACATACTTATTTATTTCGAATTTCTAATGGCTGAAATTATTAATTGATCATTAATTGGTATGTCTTTATCAGTATTGACGACAGCATTGAATTAATGTTGATTATTATTGTAGGATTTCTTTTGGTCCATGGAAAGCTAACAATTAATTACAATGGACTGATTTCAGGGGCTTATCAAAGTAGCGCTGCGCCCGCTTGGGGGTCTAAGAGTTGTCGTAATTGTGGTTGTTTATAAATCTTGCTCTTGTTTATTTAGGTTATTATTGTTATTGTAGTCGATTTCTGACGTCAAAACGTAATATTCCTTTATAGGTCATTGTATTTGTAGCTTGATTGTCTCACTTAAAATACTCATGAGATTTCGTCACTCCAGTTACGGACATTGATACAGCTGTACAAATAAACTCTTATTTATTGCCTTTTCAGATTGATATTGCTCAGGTCGTTTGCCTCGGATTGGTAGCACTGCAGCATCGTGGACAGGAATCGGCTGGTATTGCCACTAGCCAAGGCAAAAATTCCAAGAATCTTAGCATTCACAAAGGAATGGGAATGATCAGCAATCTGTTTAATGATGATTCGATTAGGAGATTAAAGGGAAATCTAGGCATTGGACACACGCGATACTCCACAGCAGCGGCATCGGAAGTGGTGAATTGCCAACCATTTGTTGTTCACACAGCCCATGGCGCGGTGGCGATCGCCCACAATGGCGAGCTGATCAACTGCGAGTCGCTGCGGCGAGTTGTAAGTATATAGTTAATTAAAAGATTATTTACATATATGATGCGAACGCCACTCATCTCAACTAATCCATTAAGGTGTTGGAACGTGGTGTAGGTCTTTCCACTCACAGTGATAGTGAATTGATCGCACAGTCTCTTTGTTGTGCACCCGAGGATGCCAGTGAGCATGATGGTCCAGATTGGCCAGCACGCATACGCCAATTTATGACACTCGCTCCACTTTCATACTCGCTGGTTGTCATGCATAAGGACAAAATCTACGCGGTACGCGATTCCTACGGAAATCGGCCGCTTTGTATTGGCAAGATCGTTCCAATCACACTCGGCCATGGAAGGCCAGAGGATGCACCTGCCGAGGGTTGGGTTGTTTCGAGTGAAAGCTGCGGCTTCCTCTCGATAGGTGCTCGCTATGTACGTGAAGTGGAGCCAGGTGAAATTGTGGAGCTGACACGTAATGGTTTCCGTACCGTGGATATTGTCGAGCGTCCCGACTACAAGAAGGTGGCATTCTGTATCTTCGAATATGTTTATTTTGCGCGAAGCGATTCCACTTTTGAAGGACAGATGGTGTACTCGGCACGCCTGCAATGTGGTAGACAATTAGCTCTAGAAGCACCAATTGAAGCAGATATTGTTAGCTCTGTACCTGAGTCGGGTACGGCGGCAGCGCATGGTTATGCCAGAGAGGTAACGGACACAATAAAAATCAACCAAATTTTTTAAGCTCTAATAACGCTTTTCCTTAGTCTGGTATACCGTTTTCCGAGGTGCTTTGTAAGAATCGCTATGTCGGTCGAACATTTATCCAGCCTTCCACGCGGCTTCGTCAATTAGGCGTGGCCAAGAAATTTGGTGCACTCTCCGTTAATTGCGAAGGTAAACGAGTGGTTCTGATTGATGACTCAATAGTGCGTGGCAACACCATTGGCCCCATCATTAAGCTATTGCGGGATGCTGGTGCCAAGGAGGTCCATGTTCGTATCGCTAGCCCTCCGCTCATGTACCCCTGCTATATGGGGATCAATATACCAACAAGGGAAGAACTGATTGCAAACAAACTGGAGCCAGACGAGTTAGCTGAGCATGTCGGTAAGTCAATGTGCTCCAGCGACCATGACTTGATTAGTTAATACATATTCTTATTTCTATACTCTTATAGCCGCTGACAGTTTGAAATATCTCAGCGTGGCCGGACTTATTAAAGCTGTCGAAAGAAACAAGGCAAACACAAACCCTATTAAATCCGGATATTGCACAGCATGCCTTACTGGAGAGTATCCAGGTGGTCTGCCTGAGGAACTTAGCTGGTAATTTATAAACACGCAGGAGCAAATATTTTTACGTATTTAAGTATTTGTAGCTTAATTAGGGTTAAAAGACATAGATTTAATTTATTTATACCTCAGTTAAATAATGAAGAAGAATACATTAACAAAATGTAACACTTTTAAGAAAGCATTAATTATTATAAATTACATATAATATAAATTCTTATAAACATTTGGAGAAACTAAACTCTAAAAAAAGGATTCATATATCATCGTAGATCTTATTTCGCGGCGTTCCAAAGAGAGAAGCATTTTTTTAATCTTCACTTTTTTAAGTGAAAAATACGCGTTATGTAAAAACTCTTCCCGTGAAAACGAGGGAAGTTGGCTACATATATGCTGTTGTGGTCAGGCCCATAATCCAGGTCCATTGGCATGTTTAGGCCAAGAAATCAACATCTAAGCCGAGCTTGCTCCCATACAGGAGGCTAACGAATGCATAAGTGCAGAAGCAATAGGAAGCAATATCATCTACAATTTCTCAGACAGTAAAGCAATTTTGAAAGCTCTTGATTCGGTCAATTGCAACTCAGAAACTTTAATAAGTAGCCCCAGATCACTTAGCATTGTAGCAGATCAGTTCACTCTTCACCTGTTTGCAAAGAAAGGAACTTCCCTTACGCCTTCGCAGCCCTGCAAGAGGTTGGTTAAGCAGCTCGCTACCTACAAGCTCAGCTATTTATTCTTCTCCAAAACAGCCGAACGCTGAAACAGCTCGAAATCTGCCCAGAGCAAATGTGTTCTATAAAGCTTTATTAGACAATCTCTTTTGAAGGTTGCCACCTATCCAAAAGCCAAACCTTAAAGAAATTTCAATGAAGAAAGAATTATCAAATATCCAGCGTACTTCGCTCCGTCTTCAAAGTATTTTTGTGATGTTACTCGCTCTAATTACTCATAAAAAAGAAGTAGATCTAAAGAGCTTTATTAAGTAAATGGATATTCATCTAAACGCTTAAATGCCTCGTAAACGCGTAAACTACGTAAATAAATCGGTTTTCCATATAAAATGAAGTATGCTTACGAGGCTTACGCGGTTATGAGGCATTTACTCGTTTATATGAATACCCCTTGAGATTTTCATAAAAATGTTCGGTTTATAAAGCATTTAAATTCTTCTTAATTAGTATAGTAAATGTATTTAGAAATTAGACAAAATATAAACTTTCTCATGGAAATTCAATTTATAATCTTTAACTCGAGTCTAAATATCTCGCACTTTCTTTAATGTCGTATTACTTCAATATTTGCCGTTTTTTATACTGTGCGGAAAAAAAGCTGAGATCTATTTTTTTGCAATTTGAAAAAATCTGCCTTCTTTAAAATTACCTTCGAAATTTAAAACAAAATTAGCTAAACGTCTAGATGTAGTGAGAGGGAGTAATAATCAGGGCTTCAAACCGGTTTTGAACCGAACCGTCGCTTTTTTCGGGCTTCGAACCGAACCGTTTTTATTTTTAAATGCCAAAACCGAACCGAAACCCATCCTAAAAAAATGGTTCGGTTCAAAATAAAAATCCACTACAGCATTTTTCAAGTTTTGTAATACACAAATTTGTCTAAAAATACAACCGGTATAGTAAAACTGCAAATTTTTTTTTTTGTGTAATGGCAACTCCGCGAGTTGTAATTTCGTTCATATTAAGAATGATTGATTTTTTTTCTTACATGAAAAAAATGCTTAACAACGCCTGCACAAACAAAATTTCAAAAACTTGATTTTTTTAAGTTCTGATTAAAAAGTTTGGAGCTTTGATGCAACGTTGTTGAAATTTGCAGTTTTTCAAATTTGCATACAAAGTTTGAAATTTGAACTTATGTGATTTTTATTATAGAACGAGCTATAACTTTTATAAAAAATGTGTGGACATTAAACCCACAAAAGAAAAATAGTCAAAAGCCGCACTCATATTATTTTGACCATAGGTACACTTGTACAAAGGCCTACATAGTGTAAGCTCCAACCTACCGAAAATTAGAATTTCAGTATTAAGCCAAGATTTTGAGCATCAATTCAAAATTCTGATTATGCTGCTTTGGCTACCAGACTAGCTAGGCTCACCATTTGTCCAAACCTTAAAAAGTTTATTTAAATTTGTGTAATTTCGCCTTAATCGTGTTGATTTTAAATAATTTTTTTGTTGAAGGTATTATGCATTTTCTACCATACAAAAAATTGAAAAATTTAAAAAAATTTAAAAATTGTCAGTAATCAACTTAAAACTTTAAACTTTTTCCTAGAAATTCTTATTAAGATGTTTGCAATTTAGATGAAACTTTGCAGAACATTAATATTTTTTTCACAGAGTTTAAAACTTGGACCTCATATGGTTAAAAAAATAAACTTTAATAAACAAAAGATAAATAGCCAAAACTTGATAAAATGTCGTGTCCCTATTTATTTGTCCACCACTATACTAGGGGGTGGAAATTAAATTTTTTGCTACACACAGTTATGCCAAATTTAGTTAAGCTTTTTTGAAAACAATCGCGAAATTCGATTTTTTCTAGAAAAATTCGATTTTGTCCGAATTTTAGCACCCCAAAGTTCGATTTCGAAAAATCGCCATTTTGGAACTAAAATTCGATTAAACTCGAATCCCTACACTATATATGTGGATATTTGAATTTGATCTCTGTAACAAAGCCTTTAATATTCATATTATGGATTTGTCATATTTTTGTAATATTTGTATCCTTTAGCATAAAGAAATTGAACCATTTGAACCGAACCGAACCGCGGTTCAGAGATATTCGTAATAACACAAAAATACTTTGAAGGTGCAGCGAAGAATGCTGTAAATAATACGCGAAGGAATTTTTTGTCCAGGACAAAGGATCTGTACCGCACGCTCGATTTTCAAAAATGAGATGTCAAACTGAAGCGCTTGTTCTGTAGATTTGCAAACTGGTTTTGGTTTTTCGAAAAGAGTTGCCACTTGTTGTAGTTGTGTTTTTTTTTTGCATTTCAGCGATGATGTCAGATACGCCCTTTCCATACCATACTAACGATATGTACATATGTATGTATGTAAGTATTAATCATAACATCCTAAGATGTCACATTTATTTTGAAACACCTTTATTAGCCACAATTTGGAGTTTATTACCAGCTTAGACCTGCAGAAAATTCATTTTGTCACTTAAAATATCATAGCTGCCACTTTAAATGCAAATTCGCCAAAGTCATACGACATAATTATCCTGTAACACTCACTGTCACAAGATTACAGTTGCTTCAAGTGTGCTGTCATTACGATATCCTTATTTTTCACCCCAGCTATGACCACATTATCCTTCAGAACGCATTCAGGGCACAGGGCCTTTACGTATGCATCTATTTACATATGTCGATGCATAAGTACATACGTATGTGTGTATGCTTTGTATACACGTTTATACATACATTTGTATATGCACAAATATATGACGAAGTAATCACAATTCATTTCTGTGTTTGCTTGCCTTCACTTAACTTCTTTGCTTTGCCAACATTCTTGCCATTTTTAATTCATTCTCCCTTTGTGGTTAGATAAAAAAAAAAAATTCATTCAATATGTTGGCAATGACACGATAACTTCCAGAAGCTGCGCCAACATTGCGTTGAAGTGGTATGGGGACTATTAAATGAAGTCATAAAAGTGAAGGCGCGTGCAAAAAAATAATAATAATGAAAGAATAAAAAAATTGCAAACAATATTTTGCCGAGTTAAAAAAAAAACAATGAATCCGTGGATTTGGGTGCGGGTGTACAAGCCTCGAAGGAAACAGTGGCACCGTCGAATGGCTAAACATCTAATGGGCGTTTAATACGTGCGCCTGAATGAATCCTTGTGTTGTGAAAGCTTCTCAAACTTATTTGAGTTTTTCGAGGCTGCGCTTAGTTAAGTATGCGTGCATATACATATACATATGTACAAGTGAATGTGCGCCACCGTTTTTACTCCGGAGCAATAATTCACTGTGGTATTTTAATTTTGTGCGCAAAACTGTTGGGCAAAAATTTCGTGGTAATGGAACATTTGAAAAATAAAATAATAGAACAAAATTAGGTAACTTAGTAGTAAATACGAGCAGCCTTTAAACAGCGCTGAGCCATGGAACCATGGGTATTACGAGTACACATAAGTAGTCTTGGTAGTTTTAGCGATGAGCATATCATCGAACAAAGCGTCGATTACAAACGTGTATATTTTAGTAGAAGTTGGAAAATACCTTTGCGAATATTAGGACCATGAAATGCCTCCACTCGAATGTAAAATTTTCCATGTTTTCTTGCATCATGAGCTGATCCAGAATAAACCTTGACAAAGGTTTGTGGAACGAATTTATAGTTATGTACCCTTTTTGCTTGCAGGACCATTGTAGTGTCCTCCGCCCCTCCAGAACGGCCTATCGCCATCTATCCTGACTGCCAGGCTGCTATCAAATTTCTCAAAACTAACAGAGCAACGTCCAAAGTAGCCATAGATTGCAGGAATACTCTCAAGCTGCTGGCATCAAAATGCTCCTTCAATGTTCTATAGATCCGTGGGCACAGGGACATCCCTAGCGAGGGGGGGGTAAAGGGTGAACTCATCGAGGAGGTAAATACCAGGTGGGCTGCGGAAACCACCTGCTGTACTACCAGACACTGCGCTTGATCACTCCTCTCTCATATTTTAAGTCGCGATAATCAACGGACACTGCGCTTGATTGGCGCACACGGAAAAAGGTTGGGAATCCTAACTTAAGATACCCCACCAACGATTTTTTTTTCGCAGTTGCAGAGACGAGGAAGAGATGAGGACCATCGAACATTATCTCTGCCATTGTCTCACCCTGGCCAACATGCGCAACTAATTCTTCAACAAGTACTTTCTAGATTGTTTAGCCAACTTAAACTCGGCGAACGTCCTCGACTTTTTGTGCTATATGAAACGCACTCGCTTGTTCAATTATTTGGGGCGAGGGAAAGAAACAAATAGCTTCGGCCGGTGGTATCACAACGGGCTTTTCAAGCGTACGTTTGCTCCGCGCACTGCACGGGGCAGCCACTCTACCTTAACAATTTCAAACAGCCAAGCGGCTAGTCAGTTCCCTCTATTAGGATGATCTTCTTCAAGCTTGTCAATGAGTTTTTTTGCCACTATCCATGACCGCCAAGAGAAAATCGGAGCCAGGTACTATTGTAGACTATGTGAATTTTTTTTTGTATAACT